TGGTGTTGATGTGTTATCATCTTGGGAAAATTTTGGGCCTCATGTTGGAAAAGTGAGGCGAGATTATGTATAATGAGTTGTTAGTGGTGTAGAAAAAGGTCGGGTAACGAGTTGGTCAGGTTTTGGACAAGCTCGAGTTGACAATTGGCTAGGTAGGTTATAGGACTCAATTATTTCATTTCTAGTCGATTTTTTGAGGAGAAAAATAAAATGAAAAAACCATGCAAGTCGGGGTTTCGGATATCCAAGCTTGCACTGTCAAACCTTTCGAGGACTGAAAACATTGGAGGATAATAAAAGGGGACAAAATAGAATAAAAGAGGGGTAGGGGTGACGAAAAAGATGATACATGAGCCGTGAAACACAAACATATTTGAGAAGGTTAGAAATATGATACATCAAGAAATACGGTTTAATTAAAAATCAGATTTTCAGTAAATTTTAATAAAAATTGATGAATTATATAGTTGAAAAATTGTGGATTCTATTTAATATGTGGTTGAAAATGAAATTGAAAAAAATTAGAGCCTAACATGAGCTAAAAATTGTAAGTAATTTCAACGTATCTTGAGAGAACACATAGTATAGGGACAAAAACCTTGCTAGTTATCTAAAAATTGTCGTGTTTCAAGGCTTGGTTCAAATAAACTGGTAACATAAACACGAGTCTAGATTAGGAAGTGTGAACTGGACAAAGCTTCTAAATGAGAACGAAAAATATAGTCATTATTAGGGCCCATATAAGATATAGAAAATTTGAATTTAAATGTTGATGTGATGGATAACGGTCATATTTTTCATTTTCATGAAATAATAATGTAGATCAAACGGGAGCTAAATTTTAATAACCCATTCAATCTTGTGTCAAAACCACCTTAGCAAGTTTGACCACGAAACTGGGAACAGAACCATTAAAACTAGCCACAATTTTAAGAGATGGAAAATGGGTTGAACGGCTCACGAGCCTCGTGGACTCAGCTCGTCCCGACTCGATCAGTGGGTGTCTCAGGCTCGTTTTGAGATGAATTATGAATCTAGCCAAGCTTAAATTATTTTTCATGAATCGAGCCCCCTTGGCTCGTGAGGCACACGACACAAGCCGACTCCTTTTTAAAGAAAATTGTTAGTTTTTGACTTATTTTGTTATTTTATTTATAAAAAATAAAAAACTCGAGCGGTCCAGTTCGAGTCGTCTCGCTTTGACTCATTTAAGCTTGTTTGAGCTCAGGGACGACTTGGGCTCGTTAGGGGTCCAAGACGGCATAACACAGAAGGGTCCAAGTAGGTGAAATAGTCTCGCAAGTCACTTAGAAAGGCTTTGTTCACGCTCCCGCGCTGAATTTCAAAAGAAGGGGGAAAAAGCCCTTCATCCCCAGCATAGGGTTTCAACAGCAAGCACATACAATCTCCATCAAAATTTCTGATTCTTTATGAATCGTCCAGCAAAATGAGTGTTCCGATGGATATTTCCATGCCAAATCCCACTGATTGCAACATTATCGAAGAAAACGCCGTCGTTTCTGAGCTACCACTTGCTGTGGCAGCCTCCACGCCTCCAACATTTAACGAGGATAAAGTCCAGGTTTCAGGTAGATCGGCGCGTAGATGTATACAAGAAGTTGTTTATGATTAATTCTACGTCATTACAGTCTGAAAATTTGTGCTTATGGTAATGAATGTGTAAAAAGATTTTAAAGTTTCGTCATTTTTAATGCAGTTGAAGTTTGCTTAAAACCCTCCAGCACTGCACGCATTGAGGATGTCCGCTTAGCCGTGGAAAGGTAAAGTTACATTTACACGTGAAATCCAAGCTAAACATTACAAACACATCGGAGTTGTTTTGTGTTTGGTGATATAACTTTGTACATATTACTACTTTCTCATCGAAATTTAAAAAGTTACTCTTTGCTCAGAACTTTGTTATAGGTTATTACTTGCTCACCAAAACTTACTTCCCGTTTGGGAAAATTTTTCTTCAAGATTTAAGTTGCTTTTTTGACCGTTGCCTGGCCATTGCAGCCCCCTTTTTTTACTTGCTTCTCACACAATTCTTACATTGGGACCCACTTTTACATCAAGCAACGTTAAAAAAATGGATTTTAATCTTGTAAAAAGTGGAGTCTCGCTCACCCAAATTTGAAGAAAGTTACCTATCAATCTCCCATATAATTTCCATCAATGTTACCTATAGCAAGATTCAGTGAGCGAGTAATTTTGTTCAAATTTAGATGAGCGACGAGTAAACTTTAAAAATTCGGTGAACAAGCAATAATCTATAGAAAAATTTAATGAGTAACGAGTAAATTTTTAAAAACCAGTGAGCAACTAGTAACTTAGAGCAAAATTCAATAACCATTGGTTAAATTATCTCGTTTATAAACGTGAAGATATATTTCTTTTTTCAGTTTTTGAAAATTTTCTCTAAATGCCTGGCACAAAATTATAGACGGTTATATGAGGCACACTAGGTTACTTTTACTTTCAATGCTCGAGAAAGAAGTATTATTTGCTTATCATATGATTTGTGTTTTTATTTCTTTTAAATTTATAGAATGCTGGAAAAGAGAAGCATGAGCTATGTTGATGGTACTATTCCAATTCCACTTGATGATTCCTTACTTGTAGACAATGTTCAGCGGATATGCATATGTGATACAGGTATTCTTTACTAGTCCATTTTAGCTTTCCGAGACTAAATACGGTTATTTGAAGATTCCTGGAAATGAGTGGAAAACTTTTATATGTCAATTTTGTGCTTTTTACATCTAAATAAAGGAAAACTATCTTTTTTGCTTATTTTGTAGATGTTTGGGTGGAAAAACATGATATTCTATTATTCTGGCAAGTCAAACCTGTGGTGAATGTGTTTCAGGTGATCTTTTATGTCATTTCTCTTCTAACAATTAGCGCTTAAAATTAAAATTGTGTTTACCTTGTCTTTAAATCCTTCAAGTTCTTGAATTCATGTAGAATATTGCTATGTACAATTTATATTTCTTGGTGTTAGGTGTTTTTTGTTCTTTCATTCTCCTTATTTTTCTTCTAGATAATGTATACAAACGCTCATTACTTGTTAGATGGAGAGTCCCATTCAGTATGACAAATATTAATTCTTCTAAGCTTAGAAAATGATGTGTAACTTAAAAAGAATAGTTTGTTAGTGAAAACAAAACATTAATATTTAGAAAATGGAATGGTATTTCTAGAAACGTTATGGATTTATAGTTTGACTTCAATATCTTATGTAAGAGAAAATTTTGCATCTTATATATATATATACATTTGCATTTTTCAGCTGAGTGAGGATGGTCCATGTGAAGAATTAAGTGGGGATGGCCAAGATTGTAGCTTCAATGAATGGATACTTCCTGCTAAGGAATTTGATGGCATGTGGGAAAGGTGAGTTAACATTTTCTCATTTTAATTTGGTGAAAAAGAGATTTAAAAACACAATTGTTTCTTCTACAGCTTAGTTTATGAATCCGGTCTCAAGCAGAGGTTATTGCGATATGCAGCAAGCGCTTTGCTTTTTACTGAAAAGGGTGTCAATCCTTTCCTTGTATCTTGGAACCGGTGAGAATCTTTTGCTGATTCTGTACACTTTTGAATTGCTAGTATGCTCAGGCTGTACTCCGTGATATAAAACTCAATTAATGTCATCCTGCTTCATGTCATGTCTTTCTCTTGCCCTGTCTTGTTTGTCTGTTACATTTCCTTTTTCCTTTGTGCATCCTAATCTAAAGGTATATGTAAATGTCGTATCCTTCACTGGTTTTAATTGCAACTTGGTCTGTATCTTATGCATCAAACAATCTGCGTGCCATCATATTTTTGTCAAACTCAGTAGGAAGAAGCTGCAAGATGCTTAATCAATTGTATGTACACTCCACTATTGCCCATTTAGACTGAAGATAGACCATGAAAAAAAGAAAAAAAACAGTTTCTTACCCTTTTATATTATATTTATAACGAAAGAATTATATGTATTTTATGTTTCATCAAGATTATAATGCTAACAAAGTTTGGCAAGGTATCCTGCTTATCAAGTTGGAGTTTATTGCCAATATTGTAAACCTGGGCATGGTCTGAAATACATCATAGGAAGCTGTTGTCTCAGCTCTTTTATAGTTTCCTTCTTTATAGATTATTACATGTCATTTTATACTTACACGGCTACAATTCCTTTGGGATACAGTGCACCGTTTTGTTAGGACAATGGTTGTGATATTAAGATCTTACCTTAATGAGTTGTTGAAGAAAGGATAAGCTCACACAACGTTCCTTAAGGAGTTTGAGGGCATTTTTGCCATGCAGCGAGGTCCTAAACAAGCATTTTCTGCTGGATATTCTAATATTTGAATATGAATATTGTACTAATCAATTATTAGGTTATGATTATGTCAATTTCTTACAAGACATGAGGATCAAACATATTTCAAGTTTTCTTCGTACTTGTTCTATTATTCAAATTAAGCTTCTCATGGCATTAGTCAGATTTTAGTGCAAGAGGCTCAAACATATTGCGGATTACAGTAATTTGATACATCTTGCTCTCCATTCTTTTTTCTTTCTTTCTTTTTTTTTTTTTGGTATAACATGGATAATTCATTAATTACATTAACCATTGATGTTTGCACTCACTAAGTTCCATAAGTAGTTCCTAATGGATTTTTACTTCCTTTTTAAATGATTTGCAGCATTATTCTTCTTCATGGGCCTCCAGGAACAGGCAAGACATCTTTATGCAAAGCACTGGCACAAAAACTCTCAATACGCTTTAGCTCCAGGTTCTGAGGAGTGTATTGTTTTGCATACAAAATCTCTCCTATTTTAATGTACTCTTCATTTACGTGACATCTTTTTGTTTGGTGTTTGGATTTTTTTTTCCTTTCACAATAGATATCCACAATCCCAGTTGATCGAGGTCAATGCACATTCCTTGTTCAGTAAATGGTTTTCAGAGAGTGGCAAGCTGGTATGCTTTTATTTATTTCCTGTAGGAATTAAATTGCATATTCTATCATTTGTCTTGATTTAAGATAGATATGAGCTAAAGAGTACTAGCATTGATGGATAATAATGATTTCTCATGGCTGAGTTGACATTCCAAGGTTACTTTGACGATGAACTTGTAGTTGTTTTTTACTGTGTGCAGGTTATGTGCATTTAAGATCCTAGGTTATTTTTTTTCTTCATGTATGAAACATTAAATTATTTTTATGTATCAATAAAAACGATGCTTTAAATGGACTGTATGCCCATGAAAACTTGCAATAGCATCAGTCTTCCAAATCAAAAAAATAAGAAGTTAATAAAGCTATTCTGCTTAAAATTTTCTGTAACTCATCAACCGAGCATATTTAACTCTCACCAAGAAAATATTTTCATTTTCTTGGAAGTCATCTTTTGTTCAGTTGTTGAGATGATAAATTGTATCCAATCCTGTTGCATGATTTTGGATTATATCATATCAGCTTCAGGGCATCCGGGACTTCAACTGTAATCTTCAGTATCTTCTCCTCTCCTTCCCTCCAGCTCTTCATTACTAGTTCTATGTTATTGTCCTGCTTATCTGAATCCTTCATTTTTTTTTTTGGATGGATAATCAGAAAATTTTATTAATCAAAGAAGAATATACATGAAGTGTATTATTAGTTTAAATAAGAAAGAAAAGATATGAAGTTAGGCAGCTCCTCTATAGGATTGTTAGTTGCTGCATAAACCAAGTATACAAAGTCAGATAAAATAATTCTCTAAATTGCTCCGTGTTTGGTCTTCAAAGCATCGGTTGTTCCTTTTCCTCCACACATACCAAACAATGCATCTCGGGATAAAATTCCATACTAGCTTGCTATTCTTATCACGAAGTTTCCTCCATGCCCGTAACACGTCTTCTATACGTCTTGGCAACACCCAATCTATATGTTGAGAAGCCAGAATACTGTTTCACAGCCAACAGACAATTTTATTTTTTTAGTTGGTTTCTATCGTCATTAGCTGTCAGCCATCAGTGGTTGTGGTGTTTTCTTTTTGTCAGGTTGCAAAACTTTTCTCAAAGATTCAGGAAATGGTGGAGGAAGAAAACAATCTGGTATTTGTCCTAATTGGTGAGAATTATTATAACTAGGATGTCAATATGACCTGATGAGGTTAGCCTTTAGCATATCTGATTCTCTGTTCAACAAATTCCATAGATGAAGTTGAAAGCCTTGCTGCTGCTAGGAAGGCTGCTTTGTCTGGATCTGAACCTTCAGATTCTATAAGGGTAATCATCTCTTTCTCGGAAAAAAAAAATTATTTTAGTGAATAAGTATTCTTGTTTCTCTATGGTGCATCAGAAAACTCAAATTTGCTTGTCCAGGTTGTCAATGCCCTCCTGACCCAGATGGACAAATTGAAATCCTCACCCAATGTAATAATATTAACAACATCTAACATTACTGCTGCTATCGGTAAGACTAACGTGAACTTCAGATTCTGTTACTTTTGGCAAGTTACTGTATATCTTATTCTGGACATACAGTGTTCAAAAGAATCAATAGCTCCTTTTTTGTGGGGACACGTTCTGATCCACTCCCTTCTATATCACTGACTTGTTGTTGATATAATATTGACATTTCATTTGCAGTCAAGATCCACTGTGTACATTTAAAAGCTGCTTTTTTTTTAGTATGAAACAGGACAAAAGGAATCTGTGAGATTCCCCTTCTGTGGTTGAGTTCTTGAACTACTACAGTTTGTTCATGTTATCATGTGGTATAATATAATTAATACTGAAAATAGGAAAATAATGGAAGTCGTCTTATTGCAATGAGTTATCTCACCACAAGACTTCACTTCCTAACATCAAGCATCCTAGACATGACATTGTTCACTAGTAAACTGAAATTTAGCCCTTGTTTGGTGGACATTAAAATCAGATTAAATCTCAAATCAAAGTGAACAATTAATTTTAATCACATATTTTATGGACCCACAACTTTTTAACAACACATTTTATTTACTTTTATCAAAATCTACTAAAAATCTGGTTTTAATCTACACCAAACAAGAGCTTATTTGCTACTGCCCTTTGTTAATCAAATCACAAAGAAGGTAATTAAGCAAGTTTTTGCTTTCTAATTTGTTTAAAGAAAGACAGGTTCCAAAACGGACTTTGGTTCACCTTCTAGGCTCAATTCCTTGCTTTAGTGGACCTATAGGTTGGGCTGGGGTTTGTACCCTACCTTTGTGCAGGATGACGCTGGGGAGAGAAGGGAAACCGTCGAGGCAGATGTTTTCAATAATGAAATCAGCTCTGGCTAAAGCAATTGTAGCACCTCTAGCACCCATTGATTTTGCATCTTCTAACATCTCGGAGTCTGAACTTATTGACAAATTTGAACCTGCATATTGCCTTGGTGGAATCTATAAGAGTTAGATCGAAGAGCGATATGATTGAGAGGGCCCCTCTTTTAATGATGAGTAGGATCAGCTCACAAAATGGAGCAAGCCCTTTGCTCCCCACATATGGCTTCTAGGCCTTTCTACTGTAATATTCGATGAAGAGCATGCTGTGGTGGGGGAAGGAACATAGAGGCAGAAAAATGCACTGGGATTCTTGGGAAAAAAATTGTTACCACAAATTTGGGTCTTGATCAGGGATCTAAAAAAGCATTCAACATTGTCATGTTAGCCAATAAAGGTTGGCTCATTCTGGGTTGTTTTTAGTAGGACCAACCTAAGAAGTAGAATTGACTTGAAAGTATCTCAGGATCGGGAAGAATTCCTCATTTGCAGCAGCCATGGACCACCAGTTAAAGAAAATCTTTCTAGCCATATCTCGGTTATGGAACTTTTGTCCACTTTACAATCTACAACCATTATTGGAGCTTACTACACAATGACATTGCTGATTGTGGACCAGATGTCATGAAAAATCGCTTCAATAAGGTTTTGGTCTAAAAATTTGACAATTCTCTTTGGTATATCCAAGTTTCCTGTAACTTTCCTCATTTTTTGTCCCCCTAAAATCTGATATCCCAAGTTTACTTTATGGATAAGTATCAAATGTGTTCACCTCGAACTGAAGTATATAGGAAATCATTGGTATCAAATCAAGAAACAGGAGGAGATTTTTAAGTTTGAGAGATAATGTGGAAGAATCCTTGGGTGGCCGGCTATCCGTAGATTAAATTCAGTGAGCTGAACAAGATTCCACGCTTTGATTTGTCTGTGGAGCGTATGAAGTTCCTGGAATGTGGACAGACCTAAGGAGTGAAATATTGTCTCAGATGGAAGGTTCATATGCTGATCCCAGGCTGTATTAGGAGAACTGCTGGTTTCTTTTGTCCATCGAATTCCAATGATTTATTAATAGGATGGGGAATCCATTTGGCAGTTATTTTGTTGATTAAAATCAAGATGGAGCAGCAGCGAGGAGATTTTTGTGTCAATTACTGAGACTAGAATTTGCTTCAATTTTCCCTTTTCCCCTTTATATGGCTGCAAGTCACTTGTTCCTTTTTTTATGTAAAATTTTCTCACGTACTCTTTTACTGTTCTCAAAACTACAACTGTGTACGAAGCAGACAGTATACTATTACAAGGTAAATATAGAAATTTTTGCCATCCTTTGGTTGCAGATATAGCTTTTGTCGACCGAGCAGATATTAAGGCTTATGTGGGACCTCCAACTCTCCAGGCACGTTATGAAATATTGAGATCCTGCTTGCAAGAGCTCTTACGAACTGGAATCTTATCGAATTCTCAAGTTCAGGTACTGGCTTAAACCCTTGCATTGTATTGACTTTTTTTATTTTTGAACAGTGGAAAATACTAACAGCTGAATGCAATTTGTTTCTCCTTGTGAACAAATTCCATTGTTTTTCCCCCATTCTAACGGCTTTTAATTTTAGTTCTGTTTCATGGTATTCATTAATTAAAATAAAGATTGTTTATGTGCGCTCACCAATTGCCTAAAGATACTTTTGCAACCATGAATGGAATTTGTTTCTCTTGGTCACTGGTCACAGCCAAAAAGCTGAATGGGGAATACATAGCTAAGCTAACCATTAAGTTTGCATGTGAAATTCATGTAGGATGGTGATAGCCTCGTTCTTCCAAATTTTGTTACTTTGAAAGAGAAGTTAAATTCCCCGGAAATAACCGAGTTTGCAGCCCCATTAAATCTTGGTAAACATTTGCTAGAAGCTGCAGAAGCGTGTGAGGTACTTTTCATATTTCTTTCACAATCAATAAGTTATTATATATTCAGATATTAGAGCATTAAACTGGAATTAGTTGTGTCTGTTCTGCTTTACGACTTTAATTTTGCTGAATCGCACTTTCTTTGTCTTTAGGGCTTGAGCGGGAGATCGCTCAGGAAGCTTCCATTTTTGACACACTCCGCCCTTTCAAATCCTTGTGGTTGTGAACCGGATAAATTCTTGAGTACAATGATGACGACAGCTAAACGAGAGCGCTCTGAGTTACCAGACTGAGTTACCAGACCGAATACTCACAGTATGAAATGATCCCACTGTCAAAGGCAAGCTTGTAGTTCAAGACAAAATTTTAGATATTTGCAAAGGCTGTTCAACTAAGTTATAGAAATGTAGTCTTCTGTATGAATTAGAACACATTCTTGTACTATCCCTCTTCAACGGTACAAGGATTCTCCACCGATGTTCCACCAAATATGATAAAACATGGGATATAACTGGACATTATCAAAGAAAAAAAAAAGTTTAAATCTTGTTCATTATATCAATCTCTAATGTTTTATACCTTATGGCGAGTTTGGTATGAAAGATTGGATTATAGTGGACAACATTAATAAAGAAAAAGAAAGTAAATTTTATTATAGTGTCATCTAATATTGCATAATAAACATGGACTTAATATACTGTGACGATGCTTTATAACTATATCGATGCTAGCCATGTTTCAATTATGATCATTCTTTTGTGTCGAATTCTAAGCTCCTGTTTGAACCCATTTTTTCAAAAACTCATTTTGAAAAAAAATGTCAAAATGAGTTTTTGTACTAAAATTTGTGTAGTAATGCCCTTACATGATCCGAACATAAGGTAAGTTTGTCATTTCGTATCTTTTGGTCATTTTATGCTGTGACGCTTTTATATTGACAATCCTCGAATTTGGATTTTATCCTACAAAAAACATTATATACACTAAAATAAGTAGAAATTCACTCAATTAATCCATATCACACAAACTCAAAAGCCTAATAAGCGTGTAATCAACTATAAAGCCAATTTGAGAAGTAATTGGTTCACACTATAAGTCTTTAAGCCCCTATTTGGTTTAGATAAAAAATACAATTTTAATAAATTTTGATAAAAGTTGATGAAATGTGTTTTTAAAAATTTGTAAGTTCCATGAAATATGAGGTTAAAATTAACTAATTTAATTCGCTTTGTAGCTGAATCAAACACGGGTTAAGAGATAAATGAAGGCGTGCAAGGCATGATTATTTCTTGGTGTGGGTTGGAACATGGTGAAAGGACATCAAGTGGTCTCGTCGCAAGGCGCTTTCGGCATGAAATCTTTATTCATATATGTTGTAATGTGTGACTTATATAGAGTAGAGCACATGTTTACTGAAATATCGATGTTGAAGCGGAATGAAGTGGAATGAGGGAGCGGAGCACACTAAACGGAACGGAGAATGCAGAATGCAGACATGTCCTAGTACCATCACACTATAGCTACAGACATGCCTAGATGCACTATCAGGCCACCCACTAGGTATGGCTTTGAAGATTTGGTTTCTTATGCACTTATGATCGGTAGGGGAGATCCTACTACATTTCAAGAGGCTATGGTCAGTCAAGAGAAGAGTGGATGGATGGGTGCTATGGTGAAGGAAACGAAGTCTCTACATAAGAATTAGACTCGGAAGTTGGTGGAGCTTTCAGATGAGAAGAGGGCGATAGCATGCAAATGGATGTATAAAAGAGCAGTATCAGAAAAGGAAAAATTCAAGACTCGCTTAGCAGCAAAGAGTTACTCACAGAGGAAAGGGGTTAACTATTATGAGATTTTCTATCATGTGGTTAGACATACTTCCATCAGGGCAGTGTAGGCTTTAGTAGCACATTTGGACATGCAGTTGGACTAGAGACGTAACGACAGCTTTTCTTCTTGGAGATTTAGAAAAACAGATTTACATGGAGCATCCAAAAGAGTTCAATCGATCAGGACAAGAGCACTTAGTTTGTAAATTGAGGAGATCACTTTATAGGCTGAAGTAGAGTCTACGACAGTGGTACAAGCAATTTGACTACTACATGATTCATATTGACTACAGTAGATGTGAGTATAATTGCTGGGTTTATGTAAAGAGCCTTAACGGTGGTTCTTTTATTTTTCTGTTACTTTATATTGACGATGTATTAATTGCTACAATGAGTATGAGTGATGTCAACAAGTTGAAGACTTTGCTGAGAAGAGAATTTAACATGATGGATTTGGGTGTGACAAAAAATATTCTTGAGATGGAGATTCGCAGGGACAGAGGTTCCAGAAAATTATGCTTATCTCAATGTAGTTATGTTGATAAGGTGTTAGAGAGGTTCATCATGAGTGATACAAAACCAGTGATTACACCTTTAGCGAATCATTTTAGATTGTCTACCTCTCAGTGCTCGAAGACAAATACAGAAAATAAAGACATGTCAACGGTTCCATATGCTAGTGCAGTGGGGGTGTCTGATGTATGCTATGGTTTGTATACGACTGGATTTGGCATAAGTTGTTAATGTGGCGAGCATGTTTTTGGCAAGTCTAGGACGACAACGTTAGGATGCAGTCAAGTGGATTTTCAAATACTTGATGGGTAGACTATGGCATCATGTTTAGCAGACAACAAAATGACCTTCAGTTGTGGGATATGTGGATTGAGATTGGGCTGGAGATTTGGATGACAGGAGATTGACTACAGGTTATGTATTCACTTTGGTAGGTTGACCTATTTGTTGGAGGTCCATGATTCAGTCTCTAGCTGCACTATCTACGACTAAGGCAGAGTATATGGCAGTGGCTAAGGTTGCCAAAGACGCTTTATGGCTTACAGGAATGGTCAAAGAATTAAATGTTCAACAAGGTAGAGTTCAATGAAATGTGAAAGTCAGAGTGCCATTTATCTGGCTAAGAACCAAGCGTATCATACGAGGACCAAGTATATAGATGTGAGGTTTCATAGGATCAAGGAATTGGTTTCTTCTGGTGTAGTTTTGTTTGAGAAAGTTCACACTTCTGAAAATGCAACAAATATATTGACAGAACTTCTTGTCGCGGACAAGTTCAAGCATTCCTTAAATTAACACCTTTTAGTGTTAGAGAGAAGACGTCCCAACCTATGGGTCTCAAATGGTGTTTTCTCAGGTTATGTTTTTTCATTGTTTCTCCTAAGGGAATGATATTCGTCAAGGTGGAGATTGTTGTAATATGTGGATCATATAGAGTAGAATATATGTTTACCAGAATAAATAGATCGATGTCGGAACAGAGCGAAGTGGAGTGAGGGGAGCGGAGCAGAGCACACCAATTGAAACAGGTTAGTATATATAGATGATGTAACCCTATTATTCATACATAATAAATATTATAGTCACTTCGCTCCCGTGGACGTAGGCACATTACCGAACCACTTAAATTTGTGTTCTTATTTCTTCGTCGTTTTCATATTCTTCAATCACAACAATATCTTGTATAATTTTTTTCGATTCAACCCATTAACACAACAACATTGAACAATATTAACAAAGAAAAATAAAATTGCGTTTGATGGAAACGTTGAGATCCACAAATATTAGAATTATTAATTTCAAAATGTAAAGTGTGAAAAGGGTGTAGTGGCCCCTCACTGTCTCAGCTTTGCAGATTCAAAAAGAACTTGAAAAGGGAGTGTGTATATGATCTTCCTGGTAATTAACAAGGAAACAAACAGTTTGGCACCATTATTTGGTCAACTATGCTTAATTATAAAAGCTAAAGTTAGCTGAAAGTTGATATCAAAGACTTCTCTCATAAATTATATAGGTTTTGTATTGACTACTACGATAAAATAAAATAAGAATATGGAATCGATTACAAGATTCAGTTTGTCACTCCGATCAGGCATTGAAGATCCAATGAATGTGTTAAAAGATCTATGCGCGCCAGGTTAAAAATAAACTACAAAATCATTGTTTAATCAAAATTTTATGAGAGTTTTCCAAGATACAACAATGATAAGTGTACAAAGTAAAAGAAAAAAAATACGGCCTATACATAGAAAAGTTGCTTGTAATAGAAACATGGCAATCCCATCAACAAGCATGGACCGAAAAGGAAGAGCCAAAATTCAAACAGCATGCTTGGGAATACTTTAAAAAAGAGCAACAGCTATGGGGCAACAAATATGCCTTTCTTGCCCTCTCACTTTCCTGTCCAAACGTGCCTTCACTGTACAGTAAAGAGAAAATCTGCATGCCCCAAGGTTGTGGACCACATAATTTAAATAAATAAGTTCGCCTCTCGTCTAAGGGCTTAAAGCTAATCCAATTAGCTTTCCCACTACTATATTTACATCATTTTTTTGTTGTGTGTGTATTTGAAATCTTAACTGATTCATCTTTTTACAGACTTGTACCTCCATGTATATAGGAATGGAGCTTCAACTATGCCAATACATACCTTATATAAGCTGCTTCGAATTTTTATTTCATTTTTGTGGCGTGGGGAGTAGCGCGGGCGGGGGCGGTCGAGAAGTGTCGAATACTTGAAAAGGAGAAGCATGACTACATGAAATTGGAATTATCATTCATGCAAGGGGAATCAAGAACTCCTGGTCCGATTATCACTTCTTGTTTAGTTTTTATTGTTCACGATTTGTGTTATTTTGAAATATATATTTCATATTGTGCAATTAAACTCATCCAGTTGTAGAAATGAATTTTAGTACCAATATATGAGAAATCTGAGGATGTAAGAAATTTTCTGCTGTGCTGCTGAGTTTTGTTAGATTATAATTTTTTTTTCTTTTTTGGCGGTACATCGTTGTTTTTCACCTTATATATATCTGAAGTAGAATATAATCTCGACCCCTTTTGTACCTTGTTTGTGCTTGACTTATTTGTACAATTATAACGAATGAATTTTGGAATATGAGAATTGAGAAGATCCATTAGGGGAGGATGCAGAGCACGGGACAATGTTAAGAAAGAAAAAAAGTTAATATATAATTTGTTATAGAGTAGTCTTTCCAATCTCGTATACCAAACAAGCACTCGATAGACGAGATCTAAGTAGGTTTTTGTTGTGAACTTCATGAAAATGATGTATATATCAGCTATATTGCATTACATTTTCTCTCTTTCTCTGAAGTATACAAGTGTTCTTCAGCTTCTTTGATCTGAAGTAGAATATATTCTTCTATATTGTTTGTTCTTAACTTATTCAGACACTTATAACTGCTGGGTTTAACCCAAATTTGTTAAATAAAACAATCTGTTAGGAAAGAAAAATAGACTATTTGTTTGACAGCCAAAAGGCAAAAAGATGAGATTAAGGAAAGAAAACTTATGGTAGAAGGGAATAATATTTAAATAGGAGAAGGGACTCAGCAAAAGAGTTCAATGGTCTTTTCTTCAACTAACATAAGACATGAAATATGTAAGCCAGAAAACCTTGATCATATATGACACACACAGAATTTGCAGCTAACAAAATGCGAGGATATGCCCGTTAGTGAAGCAAAACACGGGACGGGATCATTATTGTATAAGCCATTTCACTCAATGATAGATTGGATAACAGAAGCACCTACTGTCTTCCCTCCCTCTCTGATAGCAAACTTCATCCCTTGTTCACATGCAATTGGCATAGTAAGTTCAACACCATCTTCCCACGGTCACCGGGCAACACCATCTTCGACTCCTCCTCCTTGTCATTAATAATAGAGGCTACCCTTCGTGTCACATCAGTAGTTCTCATGTAAAACTGCGCAAAAAAATGGGAAATGCCTCCCACCCTCTTCCTTCTTCAACACACGCACAATGGCAGAAAACTTGGCCCCTATTTGGTACGAGAAAAATTAAATTTTTAATAGATTTTGATAAAAATTCTTTTAGTATCTTTCAATGGAAATTCTGGACGAAAATCAAGACAAGATATTTTAATTATTGATAATAATGTAATACAAAAGTTGAAGACATAAATGTAACAATGAATCAAGGGCCATGTAATTTAAATGTGGTGCTCTTATGAAAACTTGTGGTGTCAATATGGAGTATCATTTAATTATGAGTATATTTCCAACTTTAATATTATAAAATACTATCGTGGCATCCAAAAATTTACTGTTTCGTATATTTCTTAAAGTAATAGGTCTGACAGTAGCACATTTGACTATATTTAAAAGCACAATTTTAAGAGATTATAGTATATCGCTACATATTGTCTAAAGAAAGTATATAAGAAGTGTTTCTAAACACAACAAAAGATTAAATTTTGACATGTCCTACAAAAATGTTAGATTTATGACAATTCAAGCGATTAAATGTCCAACGTCTCTTTACTACATTGTTGCATGCCATATTTGGCAGGTGGTGGTTCGAGTTCATGGGCAATGAGGACAAAAAGTGGGGTTCAGGCTACTGGTAGAACCGAAAGTGCATAGGAGACTTGAACTACGCTTTAAAAAGTTAAAACAACCAACCCATCACAAAAAAAAAAAAAANACGTAATTGGACTAAAAATGTTAAATTTTAATAATTGGGCTCGAAATTAATAATAATTGGATTTAAATAAAATAAATCGAAATTGATAATAAAATTATTATTCGGGATCGAATTCGATCGAATAGATTTGAATTAAATTTTACAATTGCTCGACGAACGCGCTTCTCTAAAAATTAGGGTTAACGTTTTAGCGACACGTTTTTCGAGAAAACTAATTTATACAATTCTAAAAGTTCGCGGTCGCTACAACCACAATGGCGTCGCCCCGATCCAGTATCAAGTCAACTCTCCTCAAACATAGATGCCGGCGCAATAGATATTTTCGTTGTTAAAACATAGCGCATATATGTCAAAGAAATGAATCCAATGCTAATATAGTCTCGAACGAAGAATCAAACACATGTATAGGAGCAAACTAATAGAAAGAGGATCAACACAAAACTATGTGCCAATATTATAATGAAAGTTTGTAAACAGATTTTACCATCTTCTTATACAATTTGATCCTTGTATCCAACAGAAATAGTAACATCAACCAATCAATGCTTTCCGAGGCACAAAAATAAATTCACAAAACCAAAATAATAATAGTTTTCTCAATGGATAATGATTTCAGGACAATCAGCCACTGGCGTCATTAATACACAACATGTATTCTATGTACAGGTATATTTTTCATGAAAATCAAATAATCTATCGGAATATAAAACAACTTGCAAAAGGTATTGACGTGTGCAATGAGATGAAATTAATACGTCTGGCCTTGACAAAACTGTGATTTCAAGTTTTTAACAAATCCAGACATTTCCAAACTTCAGCAGCACATCTAACCATAGTTCACAGCAAAAGAATCCCAAGGCAAATTCAATAAGCATAACTATCTACCAGCATGTGAACTCTAGAAACTTCTAGAAAAATGAAGTCAAATCAGATATCCCGTTTTCCATGTTGAAGCCAAATCTAAAAGACATCCACAGATATGTTTCCAGTGACTTTTGTTTTTGGTCTCTCCCACAACATTAAAATTCTCAGCCTTCTGGACTATCTCGAAGCCTTCTGAAGTTGTGATAATAGACTAATTGATGTAGTCAAAAGAAAATTCCAAATTTTCGGAATGCGTGTTAGAAATGTAAAGCAGCAAGACTCACATCTGCAAACCTGGAACAATAAACTTAACAGTCAAATTATTCAGTTTATATTCAGCGATCTTCTGGTTCCTAGTTCTAAGAACTCTCTGACGGACATCCAGGGGAAGTTCCTTCAGAAAATCTGAAATAGCTCGTTCCTGCTTCCTCTTAAGTTCATCTAGCTCCCTTTGCTGCTCATCTAATAGATGCTCAAGTTTCTTAGCAATCCCTTTGACATCATCTGAATCAGTTTCAGTTGGAATTGTATCTTCACCCAAGGAATGAGGCATATTGCAAGAATAGACATCACCGTGTTTGTCAACTTCACCAAATTGTGAATCGTGGGGTAATGAGGCTTCTTCATCACATTTCTTATGACCATCATCATCAGACTCAGACTCCACATGCCTCCGCGGAGAAGCATCGCAGAAACTGTTCAAACCTTTATGGCTGATAGGAGATTGTGAATTTTCTTCGGACCAGCTGTCTCCAGAGACCGCTGACACTGATTCTAATAAGTTTGACGGCCCTGGCCTTAGTGGAGAGCTTCCACGACTAGCTTTGGGTGAATCGGACCAATATTTATGACCTGATGGCAGTATATCCAAAACAAGAGGGCTATAATGAGGAGAATCATGCGTCGTGGGGGACATATCATCCTGAGCTGCATACCCACCACTTTCAGCTTCACCACTAACAATATTGCTAGAGTTTTCTTTGGGTGCCCAATCTGTAATATGTGATTGAATTTCAGAATCAATCATTGCAGCAATTATTGATACATCATGATCTGTCAAATCCAGTTCTTCAACCATCTCGCTAGCAACAGCAGTTGACGTATCCATCCCAATATCAAATGGGAAGTGGATATTATGAATGTGACCTGCACTATAAGAATTTTTTATGAGACCAATTATGCTAGTGTGGGAACTTTCTTAGAATAAAAACTAAATATAGTACATAGAAAGAAGAAAATAACCAGACGAATCTACTATTCTGAGTTTCAAAAATATCGTATTTTGGTCTTTTCTTTGACCCTGAACCATGAAGTCTTGACTACCCTCAGGTATGGAGTCATGAGGTGTTTTTCCACTGTCAGACTGGACACCATTATCATCTGCAAAAAAATGAAGCGTCAAAAGCAGGGAAAGAGTTATTAACATGCAATCAAAATACCAGAGGAATTCTGCAAAATCACCTGCATTTAGGGGAAGGGAATGCATGGAGTTTCCTATACTTCCAGAATCTTCATCAGCTTGGAGAAAAGGGTCCATTAGCAGTTCTTTTGCTGATAACCGCTCAGAGACTTTTGCAATACATTTTTCTATAAATGCTTTAACCACAGGATCCTTCACCTTTCCTAACGATGCTGGCTTGATTCCCTTTTAGAGGGAAAGAGACCATAAGGAATTTAGTTGTGTGGTACAGAGTAGAGCAAACTAAGATAATTTAATAAATGTTAGTCAGCTCCCTCCCACTCCACAAACTCATATCTCAATATTGAAGATCCGAATCTGATCTTGGCAATTAAATCAAAGTAAGAAATAAAAGTAATCAACTTCCAACTTTTTTACTCATTCCAATGATCAAAATTATAATGTGAAATAAATTTATGCAAGGTGTCCCACCAAGAGGGTAAGATTATTAAACTATCGATCTCATTGAGGATCTTTTATATTGTGTAAGAAGAAAATTCATTACTTCTGAAAGCAAAAAGAGCTTGAGAAGTACCTACACACTGAAGTGAAATCTCATGTTTACCAACCTACATAGTGATTTTTAACGTAGTTAATCTAAGTTACTTCTAGAATACTACTATTATTGGGTTAGCATCTACTAGCAAAGAAACCATGTCAAAGATTATTTATGAATCACTTATCACCTATAATATAACTCAACATCATCTACCTACTAACTGAGAACAATGTGAAGCAAGGGATTCTCCTTCACATGCCTTTGAGAAAACCATATACTTTTGACGCCTTCTTTCACTTGTAACGTACACGAACTCTTAATAGAGGAGGAATATGTAAGAAGCACAGACATGCACACGGACACGGCGACAAATTTTTTTAACAGGTACGACCATGGACACATCTTGGTGTCAAGGACTGCAACTTAGCAAGACGCTAATGACCGTGACGATCATTGGGAATGAGGGGGAGAGCTTGACTAAACATAAGTTTAAAGTTGGCAATAATGGCAGCAAGTTTTTGTGCTGAGTAGAGCAGAAAGGGCGCCTTAGTCCTTATCTCAGCACCAATGATATATTGATATGAAAGACACAGCGTCAGGCAACGCATTGAGCAGAGTAGAAAGAACATATTAGTCCTTATCTTCGGCATGATAGGCAATGATGTGAGAGCCTTAGAGTACAGGCAAGTCATGCACAGTTGTCAAACCCTACCCGGACAATGCAACGGGTCAATGGGTCCGTGGTTCAATCGGTGACCCGATTGTCCAACTGGCTGGTCAATTCTTGTCAAATCTATTATTAAATATTTTCATTATATAACAAAGTTCTAACATTTTTTTACAACCAACTAAATTAACATTGAGGGTGTTTGGTGGGAATTAAAATTAGATTTTTAGTGGATTGTGATATATTTTTTTGAAATGTGTGGTTGAAAATATGTGAGACCCATAAAAGATGTGGTTAATATTAATTGTTTGACTTTGACTTAGATTAAAATTAGATTTTAATCCGACCCAAATATGCCCATTATGTTATTTTGGTGACTAAACATCAACTTGTATGACAGAATTCAACAAATATTATATCATATATTGTGAAAACCTATTTAGAAATTAAAATCTCTCTTCCCCTTATGCCTCCAAATCCTTAATAATATAAACTAGCTTAGGTTGATAAATTCTACTTATTTTTGGCAGATTGTTGTATCCTTTTAGACAAGCATTTAAGCAGATTAGCATTATTCATTGATAAGTAAATTTCACTGGCAACCTATATCGCAATCAGAAGTAGAATTCAAAAGGCAAGAACATGTGGATGTTTAAGAAGAACAATATGCGCAAAGAAAAATAAATATACTAGTGCAACAATTAATGAACAAAATCTACTTTATATACCAAAATTCAATAAGATCACTTCATTTACTATAGGAATATATCAACAACTAGTAATGGATTCCTTTCAAGGCATTGATTGAAACAAGGCACAAATTTTCTTCTGTGTCAGTAATCCATTCCTTTCAATCTCAAACCCGAAAGACAAGGAACTCCTACAGATTCTACAGAATACAGTGGCAACATTCAAATATTCAAAATTTCAAATGTATTACCGAACTAAGTACAAATCAAATCTACAGCATGCAGTGTTGAAATATGAAATCAAATTTGAAAAAGGAAAAGGGTACCAATGCAAAAGGAAATCTTCTTTTCACATATTTCAATGGCATAAATTTGAAATTCACCAAAATAAAACTTAAATTTTAGACTTACATGCTCTTCTTCCATCTAATTTGACTTGAAATTGAATATTTTGGATTCTTGGGATGATCAGCAAAGTGACGGCGACAGATTGAAGAATGGAGAGTTTTCAATTTACAAGAAGGCGTGAAAAACTTCTGGATTCCTGGGCTTGTATGCAAACGATTAGTAACCCGTCTGGTTCATTTAAAATTGAACTGATGGGTTTCAAAAAATTAGGCGGTTTGGCCGATCTTATAGTAGGTTAATTGCACAGCATATTAATTGATTCACCCAGACCGAACCAGAGAGCGGTTCACTGGTTTTCGGACCGAACCGACCAGTCCGGTCCGAGTTTAATAACACTGAAGACGTGCAAAAAATTGAGTTAGTTTACTATGCTCCTGAGGAGAACCTTGTTAGATTTTTCTGTAGGGATCAAGCATAGGCGACAAGTGAGCATCATACTTCTAAAATTCAGAAGTTCTAAGCTAGCAAGCATCAGGCTCCAAAATTTGTAAGTTGTGGGCTTAATGTGGGTTTCAATTTGGTATGTGGCAGATGGCACTTCGAAAAGATATATCCGTTTGATTGGGGAACTAATGCATCAGGTATAAGATGAAGATTGGTACCGACAATAATCCAATTTTCTTCATGTAGTGCCGATCAGCTAGTTGGTTTGCATAACCACGCCCAACAGGGGTGCACCTAATTTCGAGAGGGGCACACTCAAATTTCCATGTTAGCGTTTTGTTGAGGATGTCAACACCTTTGAATGGAAGAGTGTGTCCCAGACGTATTTGTGCACGCTTTGTTGGAGGACCTGATATCATCAACAGTTAGTCGTGAGGGCTCCATGTAAAGTTAATTTAGAGTTTAACTGCTTGCGGGGCTAGAAGAGCGAGACTCTGCAAAATGTACATGAGTTATGGTGGAGACCATTGGAGACAAACGACGAGCTTAATAGTTGGTCAAAATGGCAGCAATTTAGTGTGTTGAGACCTTAGCAATTGAGTCTTGCGAAGCCAGGTTACGGAGTGCTTGCCTAGGGAGTTAGAAAGCTTCCCACCAAGGCAAATTACAACAAGAGTCTGTTTGGTTAAGAATATAAGGGACAAAGGCGACAACATCAGTCAATGGCACTATCGTTATTTTTATTTATTGCAAGGGCCACATCTCAAGGATCATGTATCCATTGGAGCTAAAACTTTGTGGACTTGATATTGAAGAACTTTGTTATGGATCAAACGGATCGTCAATTGAAGGTTGAGAACATCAATTATGAAAATTATGACTCCTCAACCAAAAGACGTTTATTGGTGTTACTTGAGTTTTTCTTGCCAAGTCTACTATAAAAAGGCATGTTTGGTGAGTAGGCAGCCAACCCCCATGCTTCCGTCCCCATCGAAAGACAGCTTGTGTGCTATCCTTGTACACTAAACACGCATAACCTTTAGGAGATGCAGGGGAGACTAAGGGCCTTTAAAAACCTCTAGGGAGGGTCAAGGTTTAAAAGGGCGGTAGTGAGGCGCGCCTCACTGTGAGGCGCATGTAGTATGCTTCGAGGCGGTATTTTTGAAGCTAAAAGTATGAGGCTCACTTCTCTAAATCTGAGGCGCACGAGGCGTGCACCTCATTTAAAATTTGATTTTTCAATTGTGTGAAAAGAAATTAGAAAGGGCCCTTCTTAAAAAAGAAAATGGCCCATTTAAAAAGGCATTTTGGGGTCAAACAAAATAATAAAATACCTAGAAAACTAAACGACAGCCAGAAATTAGAAGACCAAAAAGGGAACATATTCAACAGAAATTCAAAAGTCAGAATTCAAGAAGAGTATCGTCTTCTTCAGTTCACCAGGTATATTTTTCCTCTTTTATTTTTCTTTTTTTCTTCTTCTTAGGGTTCAGTAAATATTGCATACAATTAGTTCCTTCATATAGACATCTGGAAATTTTAAATTTTATAAATGTTTTGATTTATATAATTAACACACAATTTCATCAAATCACTTGTATAAACTCTAAAACTCATGTATCCATACTTCTTAATCTGTAGCATCATTCCATACTTCTTTCTTTAGGTGGACTATACCTCAATATACTAATGGCTATATATCCTATTTACTATATGCTCCAACTTTGATTTTTTTGTATTATTTTATAATTCTTTTACTTAGATTTTTTGTTTTTTTTTAGGCTTACGCCTCAATCTGCCTCGAGGCTTAAGTCTCATAAAGAAAAACCGTCTCAGTACTTAGTTTCGCATTTTTAAACCTTAGGGAGGGTTGAGGATACTCATAGTGGAGAATCCATCGAGCGATGTTGGGCCTTCATGACCTCATTGGGCGCCCAAAAACCTAAGGTTAACGTAGAGTATCGCTATGCTTTTAAGGCTTACGTTGAGGATATGGTAACACCTTCAAACCAAATGAACTATCGAGGAAAGCATCCTATAGGCTTCATATGATAGCTCGTGCACATTGACTATGTCTTTCGCCTTGTCGTAGCGTCCGTTGACCAAAAATGTTGTTGGACGAATATGGCAAGATGTTGAGAATAGTATTGTGGAGCATGCGAATGGCCCTCAATGCTTCGGATGGAGCTAGAAAAGCTCATTTCCAGCGAGTATGCTTCAAGAGAACAGTTGGTTATGCATGAGCAAGTGTGCAAACTAGAAGATGTGCATTGTGAATACGAGAGTGCCTTGGTACCAATTGTTGCACAAGGACGCATTCCGGTGTTTACATGCTAACAAACCTTGTGCGCCGAAATATGCAAAAGGTCTAGTCTATACTCGTGATGGAAGATGATGAAGGTAGTCAAACGGAGTGAAACTACCGCCACACGGGGTGTGTAATTGTCCCGTTGAAAGACTCTAAGAGCAGGCTTGTGTTACAGGGACATTGATTTAAATTTTAAAAATTGTACATCTATATATTTTGCCTTTATTTTTATACTTTTTAATAGTAGACATGATACATGGCATGTAAGCACTTGCCTGAGGAGCATCCCTAAGGTAATCTTCGAGCGTAGAAAATGACATGACATATTTTGGACAGTGACCTGCCGAACTAGTAAGGGTGTACGTGCTCCATAGCTTTTTAAGAGCCAATAGGTCAGTTTCCAAACAAAACTAGCAAGCAACTATATATTTAACTAGAACAAAATTTCTCAAAACTTCTTTGCTACAATTTTTATTTGCTTTGTACAGGTTAGTGAAGAGAAATATGCAATGTGAACGGTTAGAAATTGAAGAATAACTTACTGCTGTCACTTTCTTATATATCTGAGCAGCATTGACACATTCAACATATGGATACTCCAAGGTCAATAGCTCCAGCAAGCACATACCAAAGGCATATATATCTACAAGCTCATTGTATTCCTCCTCATAAAGCTCGGGTGCCATGAACTCCGGTGTGCCTAGCATAAAAAATCACAATCAAATCCTTACCCTCACAATTCAACCCATCAAAAAGTAAATTCAGACAGTGGAGAAGAAAAGTGAATCAACCTTACCAATGACACTGTGAGCTGAACGAGCCTGATGCAAAATAGCAGCAAGTCCCAGATCACCAATTTTCACCTCTCCCTGGTTCCCGTTAACAAATATATTATCACACTTCAAGTCTCGATGAATAACTGGGGGGTCATGACTATGAAGATATAAAAGACCCTCTAGGATTTGTCTGGACCATTTTTTCAGTGCTCTCAACTCAACATGCTTGTGTTTCTTCCGATACCTATACAGATACATAATTCCAACCGCCATACTTTTCAATAAATATATATCCAAATTCATAGCAAATAATAAAAATCATAATAGGTCATTTTAGTTTGACATACTGTCGCAAAGTTCCAGAGGTGAATATTTCGGTAATGAAGTTGATGTGCTCATTCTTGTCATCGATCCATGAGTTGTAAAATTTGATAATATTCTTATGCTTAAGAGTTTTTAGCAAGTGAACTTCTGAGTACAGCCGCTCCAAATCCTCGGAATTTCTCAAGAGATCTGCAACTTTGACCTGATTCCAAGCCACCTCTATGCCTTCCCATTCATCAAATGCTCTATATCTATTTTCCAACATTAGTATCAAGGACTAACAGAAAAATTCGTACTTCAATCCAATTATCTTTTAAATGCTGGAATATATTTACGAATGAAGCCCGAACAAATTCTGCGAAGGATACACTTTTTTAAAAGCTCCCTTGCCTAGTACTTCTTTATACTGGCAGAATTGCATTGTATTGCAGAAAATTAAAGAAACTCAGTAAGGAAAACAGTAAATTAATAAATAATCACGTCATTACGCTGATCACAAATTTATACAGAAAAGTAAAACAGAACTAGAAAACCGTAAATCAGTTCAAATCTTATTGAATACACTAAAATATATACGACTATATTAGTAGCAACTAATGGAGCAAAAATATAAGAATTGCACTGACCCGACCGTACCGACCAGTGGGATCAGCCTCTACGAATTCAAGTTCTGGATCAGAATCATCCGGTTCGGGTTCCGACGCCGAATCTTGGGGCATTCTCCGATTCACTTGGATGAAATTATTTGTGCTTTAAAAATAAAAAAAAAACTCAGATTCAGATCTAACGATGAAATTTTCCAGTTGTACTTGCTATTCAAACTATATTTCGCACTTTCAGCTGAACATCAAATTAAAAACACGTGATTTTCTGACACTGATCAATGAATACTATGAATGCAAACCCTGGAAAAGTCGAATTTTAAATTCCAAATCTAAACAAAAAATTGTAAGGTTTTTACATGTGTTGTGTAGATATATCCGTATGCGTGAAAAGATCAAGAAAAAATTATGGTGCAAAAGGCTGAAGAGCGAATCAACTTAATTGATTGCGACTTGCAGGCAGTTTCTCTTTTCGTAACTAATTTTATTTTTTATTTTTCCTTTCGAAAAAAAAAAAAAAAAATTTTCCTAACAAAATTTTTTTTTTTTTTTTCCCTTCCAAAAAAAAAAAAAAAACTCAAAATACCTAAAAAAGGAAAATACTTTAATTTCTCGTAATTCTAAGTAAACCGTTAAAAACATTTGACTCGCAGCATGATTTTCCTAAAAAATTTGTTGTCCATTGCCATTACCCACCTCTCTCTCTTTCTCCACAGTATATATCTTGTATGCCGGATTTGATTCTAAATCTGCATTGCTAACCATATTTTTGTATAGTTGGCAATATTTTGCATTGTATTAGGGTTGTCGTCGCAAGTTGCTCCACCCCATTCCAACGGTTGCAGTAAGAATAGGCATCATGGACAAAGTCATCTTCTCCATTCCGTTCATCTTTGCCCTTTTTACATGGCTTCTTCTTACTATCAATGCTGTTGAATCTAAAGCTGGTATGATAATATCATCTCTCTTACACACACACACACGTTAAGTAACTTCAATTTTTCGACCCAAGAAATGCATTGTTCGAACGGAACGACAAACCATTATAGATTATGGGGGCTTTCTGCTATTGTCGATTATATTATATGTACAGTACATGCATGGATAGTATGAACATTTTATATCCGTTAAAAAAGTTGAAATCAAATTCATCAGTTAATTTTAAATAACAAACACATATTTCATTAATTTTTATAAATAAATATTATCTTTCGTAAAAAGCTTTGTCGAAGAACCCTAAATTTCATGGGTGGATTTTCTAAATTTGAGTTGTTCTTTGGTTGGATCAACACCCTTTTTATTGTATATTTGTGGGATTACTTTCTTTCTTTCTTAGCATGGATATAGTTGTCATGATTAGTCCTATTTATTTATTTTTTGTTAATTAATTTAATAGAAGCAATTAATTCCATAATCTATAATTTAAAATTAATGCTCTGCTGCCAATTAAGGTTGTTGGTTAAATCAATGAACTTTTGCTTTATTCTTTGCGTTTAATGTTTATTTCCATAATTGGCTTTTGCATTGTTCTTTGTCCCAAAAATATGCTTTGATAGTAAAATGGTAGATCTGCGGGACACAAAATGTCGTGCCTCTTGAATTGTAGCTTGAACTATATAGTTTTCGTATTAAAGATAAAAGAAATATTTGATGGTGAAACGGACAAAATTTTAGTACTTCGAAATTGTATTTTAAACTACTCGATTTTGTATTTTAAAATTCTAGTCCATATTTAGTTTAGATAAAATTATAGGTCCTATCTGGAGTAGCTTGTTTAACACAGAAAATTGCTTTTCCACCCGTCGGAGCACTATTTTCCAAAATGCATGTGAGATGCAAATTAACAATGGCTGTTGGTGGCGTCCCTTCAACGGTTATAAATTTGCTCAAAATTAGATAGAAAGCTCCGGCAGACAGACTCATATTTTTAGTAAATTTTGATAAAAGTTAATGAAATGTGTGGTTGAAATATTATAAATCTTATAAAATGTGTAATTAAATTAATTGTTAAATTTAACTTGAATTTTAATTCAATTTCTAGAATGGCCAACTTTAAACGAAATGAACATTGACCAATGTGAAATTTTCATCGACAGTTCAGCCATCACCCAATGCCCTGCCCTTCACTCAAAAAGTCCAGACATGGATCAATCAAATTTCAATACTAGCTTCTTTAATCTTCATCACCCCACCCCACCCCACCCCACCCCACACCCCACCCCACCCCACCCCACCCCAAAAAGAAAAAAAACGAAAATGAGAACATTTTCAATATTATAAACTTTAAGACCTTACTGAAATTTGAAAAATAACAGAAGAAGAATCTCAGTTCAACTATGAGGAGACCACGGCTAAAGGACCAGAGAATTGGGGCCATCTGAATCCAAAATGGCAAGTCTGTTCAAATGGAAAATTGCAGTCTCCGATAGATCTCCTTCATGAAAGAGTGACGGTGGTGCAGAATTTGGGGAATTTGAAAAGAAATTATAAGCCAGCTCCTGCAGCACTCATTAACAGGGGACATGACATTATGGTAAGCCTCCAGCATGGTTATGTTCTTCTTTCTTACATGAATTTTGCTTCACTTGGGTTTAGGATTCATTCATAGCTTACTCTCCAGTATAAACAAAGAATAACCCTTGTAGCTCTCATGGTAGGTAGTACTGGATAATATAATGAGCAAGATTTTGCATTATTATTTCGTATACTAAATAGATAAATTTAAGGTCGACTACAAGTGAGATTGTTTTCTTGATCTTTTACCAGATGGAATGGAAGGAAGATGCAGGAGGCATCAATATAAATGGTACAGACTACAAACTAAAGCAATGCCACTGGCACGCTCCCTCTGAACACACAGTGAATGGAACAAGGTTCATTTGACCACTCTTTCCTTTACCAACAATTAATTACTTGAAACCTTTGAAATAAGTAATTTTACTTTGTCAGCTGTATGCATACATTAAGTTTTTTTAAATTTTTTCCCACTAGATTAAAATCAGTAAGTTACTTTTCAGAAAATGCTCACTTGAATTTTCTTAGCAGCTATGATATGGAGCTACACATGGTTCATAAAAGCTCATCTGGAGAGATTGCAGTGGTTGCAATCCTGTACAAATTTGGACACCCTGATCCTTTCATTTCAAAGGTAACTAGTTTGGCTCAGATTCACTTATTTTGAAGCTTTTCCCTTGATGTTGCAACTTAATAGCACGTAGATTGTAACTTCTAGTACTGAATCGAACTGAACAATATCCAAAAGGAAGAATATGTAAAGTCTTATCGTGTCTAATATCACGTACCAAACAAAATCTAAGAGCTTTGGCTACAAGATTTAATCCATTATTTTCCATCAGATCATACCCGATGATCGAACTGCACCATGTATGTATGCATTCATTTTACACCTGTGACAATACTCATACTGTACTAACAGTTGGTCATCTTTCTCTGTTACAGTTTTTACACCAGGTCAAAACAGTGGATCACAAAGGAATTGATTTGGGGGTTGTTAACCCATGGAAAATCAAGTTTGGAAGCAGAAAATATTACAGATATTTGGGTTCCCTAACAGTTCCCCCTTGCACAGAGGGTGTTCTTTGGACAGTACTCAAGAAGGTTAGTCCAGATTTGACAGCGAAAGTTACTTTCAACATACTCAACTTTTTATACAATTAAGCTACCTGTACATCATGTTTCTATATCTGGTTGACATCTGATGATGATGGGTAGAAAATAGAAATCAAGGCCATTGATTGTATTAACTGTTGTAAAAATCAATGGTAAAACTGTGTGTCATATCATGGAATGTCAACCAAGATGTAAGTATAACAAAATTGTTTTTTATATACTAATAACTTACCTTGGAGACACAAGTTACAGTAACTTTTGCTTAATTTTAAGCTTAGAGCATCTAAAATCCTTCTTCTTTTATAGGTGAGAACGGTCTCAAGGGAGCAAGCAAGAGAACTTAGGAATGCTGTTCATGATGTAAGTATTCTTCACGTAGGGTTGAATTGATTTTAGTGAATTACCCACAAACATTGCATTAAGATAGCTTGAAAAAAATTTATATAGAGAATATTAGAAAGTTTTAATAAAAATTTGGTTTCTACAAAAAATTTGACAAGACTTTGTGTATTGTTGTTTTATCGTCTAGATTTTGTTCGAGGATATGTTGATTTGTTTCTTTTCAGGGATTTGAGGAAAATGCAAGGCCAGTTCAGGAATGGAACGGAAGAACCGTTTACATGTATAATCCCAGGAGTCTCTGAAATTTTTCGCTCGACAGAAAATGGAGAAGAGAATAAGGATAGATAATTGCATTGTTTGGATATATATGTGCACCTTCAAGGCGATTTTTGTACATTGTATTGGATAATATTAATGAAATGAAAGATCCTAGACATCCCAGATATCTTAGAATATGGTGCTAAAAGTCCCGAACTAAGGGAAAGCTCTAGGAAAGAATTCTTGTCCAGTACTGCGTACGTATCATAAAAGAATAGTAATTTATGTTGATTTATTCTTCTTCTACTAAATGTTTGTGCAGTTATCGTTTACGCAATCCTTGTATAAGACAGAAGAAAATTCACTGATTATAGAAGGAAGGTTCCAGATTTTGACTCATAAACAGAATTGTATAAGACATGTTGATTAGCTTTGCCCATTTCGTTTAAATTAAACACTTTAACAGTCTTAAAATTTAAAATGTATCAACTTTAGTATAAATATAAAATGGTGGTGGTGATTGTAATAGTATTTGCAGGTGTTGGGTGGAGAAAAATGTTGGAAAATAGAGAAGTATTTTATTTTAATAAAAAATAATGATAGCAACTTTGTTCCATAAATATAATATCATGCCCTAGAGGTTCGTGTGATTATTTAACGTCAGATTCGATAGAATATATCCAAAGCAATGTGAAAATCAAACCGAATTAGTTGCTTCACATTAAAAAAATAAAAATAAAATAAAAAATTGATTATTTATTCACACAAAAAAATTATAAAATGTTAGAATAAGACGATAATTGAAAAAATAGTTACTTTACCTCAATTTTTTTTTAATTTTTTAATATTTCTTTGCCATCAGTTCAATCCAAGTCTGATCCTTTGACCTTGACAATACCTTTATCTGGTCGATAATTTGGTTAGATTTTAAAACATTGGTTGAAAAGCACCAATCCTGCCAAACGTTTTAGTTTGGTGACATAAAAGTGCAATTTCTAAAGGTTGGGCATTAATTAGTGAGTGTTTGACACCCATTTTAATGGGTTATATTTTTTTGGAATAGTGATTGATGAGAGAATGTATGGTGGAAAAGTAATGAAAAATTTTAAATTTCTGTGTAATATTATTTTATTTGAAGAATGTGTGTTTAAAATGAAGAAAGAGAAAAAAAAAAAGAAAAAGAAAAAGTGAATGAGTGCCAAACAGGGGCTTAGTATGAATTACCAAACTTGGAGGACTAAATGTTAAGTTTTCCAAAATAATAAAATTATATTACTAATTTCAATAAATAAATATGAGAAATCAAAATTGTTTTTGGAGTGGGGGTTAAATTATTGAAACCGAAATTCCAAATGTAAAATTTGCAAGCATGTAAAAAAGTCAATTACTTGAGGATTGCTTAACGTGAGAAAAATGTCATCAATCATCCTACGTGTACATAATCTTTACATCATTGTTTATATTGTATCACATGAACATAACGATTGAACAGTTTAAAAAAAAAAACTTTTCTCACCCACAAATTTTTAAAAATAAAGAAAATGTCATCTGCAAGGAAAAAGGTGTACAAGTAGCATTATTGATACAATAATGCTACATATACATCATTTTTGACATTGTACAACGTGACAACACATAATTTGAACAAAAATCATGCACTTTTCCACCCACAACTTTTTGAACTCCAATGGAACGTACACAATAATGTCAACTCACAATGTACAATTAACAGTAGTCTTATTGATATGTCATTGCTAATGTTATATTGCATCACTTGACTAATGTATAACTATAACGGAGCGTAATTGGTATCACTGTTTTCATCTAGTCAAGAATCTTTTTAAGGCAGAACAGGACATAGTTTAATTTATTATTTAATTTTCAATACGATTTAAATTGAAAATATAACTAAATAAAAAATATTCGGGGCAAATTCAAGAAATTCAGGATGGGAACATGTTCCAGTCTCTGTCCTGCTTACCAATTAGGACGACAAACTCGTGAACCAAATTTTCAAGAATTCTCAATGCAGTGACCGACCAACTCGTGAACCAACAGTCTCAAGAATTCTTGACGCAATTCAAATTGAAGCAAGTAATTCTAGCGGTCGCGCAGCTTGTTAATAGAACAAACAATAATGACATTGACACATTTGGTAAAATAGACTGGATAGTACTGACACATACTAAAGAAAAAAGAGCTAAAATGTTGTCTATTATATTATTCAGCCCAATCCATAACTCATACCAAACATTTCCTAGCAGTTCCGCAGCTTGTCAACCATTCTTCGCGTCACCATATAGCTGCGCTCTTTGAAAGTCACCTACCAGGAATACATAAAAAACACAATAAATACAATGCAGAAATAAATACTCTGAAGGCTTATAGTTCTTAAAAGATAACCCCAAGTCTCTCAACTCACTGTTACTCCTATGATTATACACAGAATCTTCTGTATATAAGCCTGTCATTAGCCCAAAGACATACCTTTTCCGATCTCAACTATCTAGAGAGGAAGTTATTGCTTTTTAAGTGCATTCATTTTATCTCTGAGATAGTAAAGCTTGGCCCTCCGTACTTTCTTCTTGTCCAGTACCTTTATCTCCTTTAAATTTGGCGAATACCTGTCATAATCTCCTCGTTTAGTCATCCTTCACAGATTCATCAATCCAAAGTAACTTAACAGCCTGAAATAACCACAGTGATGGAAAATGGAAGCAGAAAAATAGGCATGTTTCACACAACACAACACACTGATCAAGAGGTTAACCCGAAGGTCATTTGATAATAAATGTAATAAAGAATTGAGTTATAAGTGCATCCTTTTCCAAATCGAGGGAACAAAAGTGAGAAATAATTCAATTTCTAACCTAGGAAAAATATATAACTGCATGAATACTCACAAAGGGAAAAGAGACTCAACACCAACTCCAGCTACTAGTCTTCTTATTCTAAATGTGGTACTCAAACCAGCATTTCGTTTTGCTATAACAATGCCTTTTATAACTTGAACACGTCTTTTGTTCTCTGGTACTTCCTGTGATAGCAAGATCATAACAAAGGGTGCGAGTATGGAGTATCAAAACTGAAATTACTAACGAGACTGACAATGTTATGGCAGCAGAAGAATAAGCAAACAAAAGGCTGATTTTCCAGTAAAAGCATTACGTACTAATTTGAGTTGGACAATGTAACCAGGCCTTATGTCAGGTATCTCTCGTTTTTCTTTCACTTCCTCGACTGCTTCCTTATCAAGTATCTGCAGTTTGTATCAATAAAATAAAATACTCACTATAGAACAGTGCTAAGCTGTCATGTGAAAGCAAATAAATGACCAAAACGAAGTATATTTTGATTTTCTGTACCTGCATTATGTGTCTGGCCGTTTTATCTAGCCTCTTGAATTTGATGCGTTGTGGCACATCATTAGAAGCGGAAGCATCTTGAGAAGCAGGTGCCATTGTTGTCATACATCTAGTGGGTAAAGTCAACACCTTAGCAGCTGAAGACAAACCTAAGCTTAGACTTCTGTAAGATGGAGCCTTACAAGCTTTTCCATTGCTTTCAAATTTGGTGACAAAACATTTGTTCTGAAAAACATGAATTCTTTCACCTGTCAGAAGCAGTTTAAAAAGAGAGAAAAGGCGCTGCAGTGTCATGTAGAGGTAGCTTTGAGCCGAATATATGGTTTGTTATAGTTTCAATAACAAGCATGTCAAGTTTCTATTATTTTATTAGATATTGTGGCATTGTAAGCATTGTAAAATGGGTCATTTGATCAAAGCTCAAAAGAATATGTGAATGTGCACACACATATAGCTAGACACGCACTACAACACGTACGACTATAAGACTTGGTCTAGTCTCTAACAAGTTTAGTTATTTTACCAAAAAAAGTATTTACTTATCTTCTATAATCAACAGGATCTACCATAAAAAGCATATTGATGATAGGGTTAATTTAAAGAAAAGGAAAAACACAAAAGAAAGAGTTGCACGAATTATGAAAACCGAAGGCCAAAATAGATGGGCAAAGGAGGGGATTCATCTTTGAGAAGGAACAAATGACAGAGAAACTGTATGACTGATGATATCATAGTTCACAAAGCTAGCATCAATGTAAAAAGCACATCAACCAAATGAGTTCGCCATGAAGCGGACGAACAGGAACATACATATTTGAATGCTAATCTTGATCCAAAAGCTTAGAATCCTAATCTTGATCTAAAAGCTTAAAATATTGAGTTTTGTTGCATGTCTTATTGCTTTTCTTCATTTTCCTTCATTTGTGGTACTTCCCCTTTTCTTATTTTCCTTCATTTGTTGCATTTATTCGCTTTTGAGAGGTCAGGTTTATGTCCCTCTTCCTTTTGTTCTTGTGAGATTAATTTTACATCTATAAGGTTGGGTAATCCTAACTCCCATCAACCTTCCCTGGTGGTGACTGAAAACCCACTGAGGCTGTATCGTGTTTTGCTTTAAAAAAATCCTACATGATCAAACATCCAGTATCAACAAGCTTTCATGTGCAACCCTCAGTACCTGACACTTCTTCCAAGCTATGGATTGTGCATTGCACCTTAACCATTCGCCAAGGATCATGTACATTTTTTACTTGCTCTTCAATAACATGATCAGCTCATCCAAAGGTCACACACTATTTTCTAATCCAACGTGCATTGCTTCAATTATTATCCACATGGTCTTGTCCCATCATCAACATTCACCAATGTGATCTTTCGATCACATTTCCCCCAAAAACCATTATGTTATTGCCCTCCCTAAAGCTGGACATAAAGGACGACCACATGGTAGCTGAACTTCAAAGAAATATCAGATGGAGGAAACAGGAGTAATTTGAACTAAATGAATACACAAGTTCGCATTGTTACTTAGCTCCTGTTCATTCCAACATCATATCTACCTCTGTTTTCTATTTAATCTTTAAGCTCCAGTCTAGCTCAATAAAGGCTTTACTGAAGCTCAGTTAAACTTGACTTGTTAGAAAAATAAGTGAAGCTCAAATCATATCTGTATGCTAATCAAGAGTTCGAGCAAAGTTTTAAGCTCAACTAAGATTTGGCTAGACAACTCACTGGATATTGAAAAAAAGAATGGGATAACCATGTTCAGATTTTAGAAAAAGGTGGGCTTAGGCAAAATTCCAAGACCGAACTCTAAGGCTTGCTTGAAAAACTAAACCATTCTTGAGCACCCTAAAGCTCACCTCTGACTCCCCCATCTACCAAAGGAAGATGCATAGGAAAGCTGCCTCATACCCACAACCTCATCTGAAAAAAAAAAAAAAAAAANATACCCACAACCTCATCTGAAAAATAAAAAAAAAAAAAAAATTGAACCTTAAGAGCGAGCTCATTTTTATCTTCATTAAGCATGCCTATCTTCTCTCTTTTTTCTTTCTTCTAATTCAAATGATAAAGCAAACCAAACCATGGCTTATTCAAACTTTACATATACAGATCAGAGCCATGTGCTTGCTCTCCTTTCTTAACTTCAGATTTACAGATTTATGTGATATGCTAAATATAAATATAAAAGAAACTAAACAGCAATACTAAAAAACAATGGTTTCCATGCCCATCTGAAGCTTAGACCTTGTAAAATATTAATTTTAATCTACAAAATAAAACTTCAAGGAAAAGCTTGTAAATTGTTAAAATTCAATAACCAATAACCATATATTACATGCCATTAAAACATACCAGAAAGAATGCCGGGCTAGAACCAAAACGAGGGTTGAACTGAGATGAGTTAGCAAAAGAGTGACCCTGAACGTTCAACTCTAAAGAAGAGATTGATTTAAACTCTACATTTTTCAGATTGCTGACTGTTTGTCTCGTGGCGAAACGAATTTTCCCAAATAATGATTGCATGTCTCTTCTCTGAGTTAAAACCTGTATTACAAGGAAAACGTGATGGAATCAAGTCACATAAACTAATCATCAAATCATTTTCTCAGCTCAACCAATCAGTTATCAGAGGTGGAGGAGTCCATGTTCAAGCTGATAACAAAACCTTAATGCCGTGAATCCCATTTCATCACAGGGGAATTCACACCTGTCTATTCAACGCTCCACTTCCACCACATCAATTCTCACACAATTCTATACACGGGTGAAAATGTACTTAAACAGGAGAACTTAACTCGAATCAAAAATCAAAATCAAAGTTTATATCATTTTAATCTAAATATTTCAATAAAAAATCTATGACCAACCCATATAAACATAAAATCAGAAAACATACGACATCAACAAAAATTAAAAATTAAAAATAACAAAGAAAAAGAAAAGAAAACAAGTCCTTACAGAAATATTTTGATTTGGGTCCTCGGATGCGAGAGTAAGAGGCACCGTTGGTGGAAGGCGGCGAGAGACGAGACTGAGAGCTGAATCCCCGGGCGGAATCGCGGAGAGGCGGACAGATGAGAGGAGTGAAATCTGTAGTTTGGAGTTTGGACTGATTTTTCTCTTGGGCTACTGAATTCAAAAGCCCAATAGTCCAAAAAAAAAAAGGAAAATTATAAAAAATCAAGAGTTTAAATATTGCTTTTTAAAATTCAGGTCTAATGTTTATTTGTTCAAAAATCAGGTAAATAAAAGCCCTAATTCACAACCCTAATTCACTAATTCTCCACTCTGTTTCTCTCGTCTCTCTCGCGGCGTTGTCTCTCTATCACTCCCTGAAGCGGCGCTGTAGTGGCTGGTCGGACGAAGGTGTTGCATCGGCCTGCGACGCTTCAGCATCGAGGCTGCTGAGACGGCAATCGCTCATCAGCCATCAGTCGCGACGGCAATTGCCCATCAGTCTTGACGGCAATCGCTCTAAGGTGGTGTGGCGGTAAGGTGGCGGTTGGGTATATATGTACTGTAGGTGTGTGTGCAATGGAGTTGTGGTGGTGGTGTTGCGTCGAGGTGTGGTGGTGGTGGTGTTGA